TCCTTCTAGACTATATCCTTGTCTATTCTCATTAAGGCTTTGCTGGTAATAAAGAGAAAAGCACTGTAAACATTTTGGTGGTTATCGAATAATTTTTTTCTTAGTAGGTCAGCAGCTATGTCTTACAAATTAAGGCAAAATGGATAGGCAGGTTACGAGGGAGTTCAACTGTAACATCTTTGTTGCCCATTAGTGATAAAATGCATTAATATAATTGAATAAGAGGTTATTTCTCCAAAACTGTTCATTAAAATGTGGACCAGAGGAGAAAAAGAGCAGGAAAGGTTTTTCCTGCTACTGAATGCGAATCATTCTAAATAACAGATGTTCCAGCCAATTTAAAGGCTAAATTCTCCTCTCTGATACTCACTATACTGGTTCTTTTAACTGCAGTTTCTTAACATGAGTAAGATTTCTCTTGACAAGAATTAAAGAAATTCTGAACTCAAAATGACTGAAAGAGGGAAATATCTTCTTCTAGGAAGGTCTGAGAGAAATATCACTTTATATGGCTCTTAAATATTTTAAAACAGTATCTTCTTCTCAAGCTATGAACAGATGGACAATTTATGGTGAGCTGGGCAAAGACAGTACCAACTCGGTGAATGCCAGATGCCTTGCTGTAGCTGCCTACATGAGGTGGTTTTCACTTCAGCATAACAGCATGCATATGAACAGTTATCACAGAGTACCTGACACATGGGATGAGTTTGCATTTGATCTTGTTTCCCCACAGCTTACGTGTTTCTAGCAAAATAAATATAAGAACTTAGTTAAAACTTCAATTACTTTCAGACAAAACAGTTACCATATCAGGGCAAATACACTTAAATTACTTCAGTTATTCAGAAATTAAAAATCTGTCAGAAATTTAGTGAATTCAGAATTAAATTAAGAACAAAAACAAATATCTGGGAAAACACTGAGTTCCAGCCTGTGTTGTGTCTAGAAATGGAAACTATGTCTTAGTAATAATTGTTTCTTATATATTAATAAGCAATAAGCACAGCATTTATTTAATGGCTTAAAGAGACCTCTATAAAGTTTCATTGTAAGAATTACTGCAGAAGCCAAGGAGCTGCTGCCTAAGACCTACAGGACTAAAGAAAATAAGCTTCCAGTTAGGAATCAGAGAGCAATTGATTAATTTTCATCTTGCATCTTGTTTACAGACTAATTGCTTATGATTCCATGTCTGGACTCATGTTATATTCCTTAATTAACAGGATAAGATAGAAATAGCAATGTAATGAAATTTTCACATGACAAAATCAGTTAAAGAATTCAGGATCAGAAGGGGTTGTGATACATTGAATTTACGAGGTGAACAGACAGCACAATGTCAAAGAAAATTTAGTGTCAATAAGTAGAATTAAATATGGAGTGGAGGAAAAATATTAAAGAAGTATTTATCTACAAATTCACTATGTAAATTCAGGAAAGTACCTAAGTATTGCTCCAGACAAGTCAGTGAAAAACTTTCTTCCATATGCAAATGCATTAGGAAAAAGGCATAAAATGTTCTAAAGCTATTGCATAAATCAAAGCTGCATCTTGTCTAGAGTGTTGTGTACAAAACTCTTACATGATAATGTGGCAGTGGAGAGGGCTAAGAAAAACAACAAAACTCTCATACAAAGTGAAATAGGAAAGATTCAAGATTTCCTCTGAGATTAATTAGTATGATCATGATAAGACTGAAAATCACAAATCTAAGTCAAGGGCTCTTTAGAAATGACACAGAGGAACTGGATATCTGTATGGAAATGTAGTTTTCATAATTAATTATTTCACATTTAGAAATAAAGTTAAACTTCCTGTTTCAGGATTGAAGCCAATTTCTTCTTATAAGAAAATAAAGGGAAAATTTGTAGAAAACACTTCTATGACAGTATTTAGACTAAGTATCTGTTTCTGGCTATTGCTGGGTCATAAAGCTACATAGAAAGGATTGCTTTTGAGTAGGAACCAGTGTTTTCAAGATTTTGGCTGCTTTCAAGATATCTTCATGATTTTGGAAAGGTTTGTATTTGTTCAACAGCTCAGAAAAAACACACAGCTTTGAAAACACTATGTGTGAGATTGAAGGACTGCTGGTGATCAAGGTTCAAGTTTCTGATAAAAGTCCAAAACAATAGAAAATCATAAACTTGATTTTTTTTATCTCCTTGAAAATACTTAATGCATTATCCGTTTTCTGACCTTTCCATCACTGGAATTTACCTTTCTTTTTCCACCTTGCATAAAAAAAAAAAAAATGAACAAGTTCCTCCATGGCTTGTAATGCTTTTTTTAACCTATTCACAAAACCTAAAATATGACAATACTAATTTCTGGTTCCTGGGACATCTAGATTCTTTCAATCTGGTTTCTGTTAATCTCAATTTGTAATTCTAGAATATGGTGTGTATATTCTTGATAAATGTGTTTTGCTTTGTATACCATCTATCAATATTAACTGAAAAATTATGACTGGATTTGGGTAGGCCTAGAAAAGACAGACTGTGACTTAAGGCTGCTAATAGAGTCCTCTTTGAATAGCTTTGTGTGTACAAATTCCTAATTCAAGAACTACAAGTCTCTTCAGTACAGAGCAAAACAAGTTGACTCAAGAATTTGTTCTTTCACCACATAATCAGGGTAAAAAGCACTTGGCCAAGAGTGTCTCTTGCACTGGAGCATCACATTTTCTAGTTCACCACTCTGTTTCATGCCCTTCCCTCCCTAGCTACCATACATTACTCAGCAGGTAATATGGCTTTTTATCGACAGCAAACCAAGTTCCTTAGGTAAACTATCCGTCTTTTTGCTGCTTTTCAAATTCAGACACAGTGCTCAGTTTCTGAAAGAGCAATGTAAAGGACAGTGTTCACCTCTTTTTCATTCATTCTTTATCATTTTATGTTCTGGTCAAGCAGGACTTGACCAGAGCAACGCTACTGACTACTGTGGTCGGAATGAGGCCTCTTCTGTCTCATGGGATTTGTTGAGTATTTACAGTACATTCCATCAGAAAGACTGTGGCCAAGGTGAAAATTCCAGCAGATGACCCAACAGGATATAATAGCACGATAGCAGAAGCTGGCCAGTCGTAAGTGCGGCGGAAGGCATGGAGGGGCCTGGCTGTCCCTGGGGAGCAGAAGCACGGTGAGCCACATCCTATAAGGTGGCAGCACAGAAGTCAGGAGGAGCCCAGAGGTGCACTGCACATTCCCCTATAAGCCCTTCCCAGAGTCTTGATATTTGGGGTTTCTGTTGATTTGGGAGTCACTTCAACACACCACAAGTGGCTATATAAGTATGCCTTTCAAAAGCCATTGAGGCTTCTATAGCATTCTCTGGGGGTAAAAACTACTCAATCTTCTGTAATCACAGTTTGTGAAATGTGCACAGCACAGCTTTGATACCCACATTACCAAAAAAAAAAGGAAGTGATTGCAAAGAGGGCTAGATCCCAGAAACCTTGCGCCAGTTTTTCACCAATTCTAGTCATGAGACCTTTTTTATTTTGAGCGCATTCTTGAGATGCTTAAAATTTATCTAATTCTCAAAGGAGGGTAAGTGGTAGAAAACATGAAAAATCTTTGAAATCAGAATATTTTTGCCACAGACCATTGATAAATAGCATTTTAGTAATTCAAGGTTTAACCAGTTCCTTCTTGATCAGTTTTATCCAGATGTACAAACAGTTTGAAGTAAAATGATTTCTCATTTTAAGAGCACTGAAGAGACAGAGATCAGCACGCAAAATGCAAACATTTGAAACTACGAGGGAGTGTCTGCCCTCTCCTGACCTCATTATCTTTGATTTCTGTCCTGTGCCAGGGCACATTATCCAATAAAGGGCAGAGTTACACTTCTGCTTGTTTCATTTCCAGTTCCAGAGCCACATCAAATCCATTCATATCAGCAGCTGGGTGCTGAACACCCTTTTCTGGGAAGTACAGGCTCTGAATCTTAATTCCTCTCTCTTTTTTTGCCTGCAAATGCTAGCCTAAGGCAGAAGCTTGCTAAGACCACTTCTAACAGACATTTCAAAATAAAATTACATCTGTAACTACATTTTTAGAAGTTTCAGTCCTATAAATGTGGGCTGGTGAATGGGTAGTACATGGATTTTGAACAGATTTAAAAATAAGCTTGGCTCATCTCCATCAGAGTTGCAGCAGTCATCTGTAAATACAGGTAACTCTCATTTTAGCCACCTCATCCCTTTTAATAAAATTTTGTTATGATTTCACAGTATTCATTGTAGATGTATGCAAGGTTTTATTGGAATACTGGGCTGAGTTTTAGGGAATTTTTATTCTGTCTCTAGAGTTGAAATATTGGTCACACATCACACCTTCCACTGAGAAGCTAATTCCTGTTTTTTTTTTAATTTGGGTTAAATTTTAAAGTATCAGTTTTCTTCCAGTCTCTTTCCCATTTTCTTTCCCACAAAACTCATGATATAGGTTTTAGAGGTGGGATTGTTGGATAATCAGGTCTTGAAAGTTTCGATATTTGGCAGAGGCTTAGAAATATAATTTCAGGCATTTTTTTACATCCTATTTTATGCATCTTTTTAATACTACAATTTCTAATAGCAAAAAACCACACATTCCTCTTAAACTGATTATGTCTCATAATCTTTCTCTATACTTCTCTTACCCCTTTATGCCTTGCCATTTCAATCTATCCTCCTCCTGCACTGTTGATTTTGAAATATTCACTCTATGACTCTCTCCCATTATCAATGTCTGGGAGGAAGGACGGCCAGGACGGAAGTTATGTGTGAGAATGTAGAAAGCTGGAATATGCTCTCATCAATAGCAGAGCTGGGTGTCTGTGAGTAAATGCTTCAGTTTCTTCATCTGGCAAAGAAATGTATCCCTTTGTGGCATAATATATGTGTGGTTTGATATATATACACAATGGCCCATATAGGTTAAATAATTTTTACTGATACTGCTATTAACTTCAATTTTGAAAACATTGTATTTTTGTTTCTGTTTCAGCTGCAGTGAAAAAGGAGGGGGAGAAGAAAGGTAAATCAATCTTTTTTCCTTGACTGAAAGGTCTTTCAGGCTGTGTGACTGCTGTGAGAAATGTTTCTTTCGTTCAGTGATACAATTGTGGTGATACACAGCATTGTGATGACATACACTCGTGTGCTACCATCAGCCAACTTTATCTGCTCCTGCTGTGATAACACTCTTGTCATTTCCACTATTGCTAGCTCCTTTCTAAAACGGGCCAATACAGACCAGTATCAGACACTTCATCATTCTGGCTGGGAGGAAAATGAAAGGCCTTTGTTACCACATTAGGATTTGTCAAAGAGAACAAAACTTGCAGTGCATCATGCATGCTGACCCGGCTGCTTGCTCTTTGCAGAAGCTGCTTTTCTACACACATTAAATTTCCTCTTTTCACATATATATGAACCTTGCATGTAACATTTGCTGAAGTCATTCTCTGATATTTTAACAGATTAGTGGAAAAATTTGCACTAAATCAGAACCTAAAGTATTACTTTTATTTAATGATAAATATAATGTATTTATCAGACACTAAATATCTATTTATAGTGTTGCCTTTTGGAATAAGATTTGCTGAGTTAAAACCTCTTTTCATAATTTTCTGATTTTATTCAAACAGCAAAAATAATGAAATATTTGCACTGAGGTGATATTTTTTTCAACCTATTCAACTCTATTGAATATCGGGCTTATAAATCTTGTTTTTCTCAGTAAATAGAACAATGGAAACATTTTGAGAACATATCCATATATTTCTTAGGATTATTTGAGATTGTTTTTTATTCAAAGAGAAAAAAAATAGCTCTTTATTATTAATGGGAGATTTGGTTGGGGGAGTGTAGGGCATGTCTTTTGCCATTTGGAAATTCTATGATTCACATAATTGAACAATGGAGCCAACCTTTACTGTCTATACATGAAGACATTTCAATCCTACTAATTTTTTATTTTTTTTTCTGTTATCCCTGTACAGAGCTGTTAACTGAATTGGGGAAAAAAATTATAGTCTCAACTGTTTTATCAGCTCATGAGTGAAATCTTGGCAGTGTTGATGTTAGTGGCAAAATTCCCATTCACTCCTCTAAAGCCAAAATTTCACTTCATGTCTTTAACAGAACAATAAAATAATTTCAGTCATCAAAAACAACCATGCTTAATAGGTATAGAGCAGGACATTTTGTCCAAAGATTAATTTGCAACAACTGAGGCATGAAAGGTAGGACATGAAGCAGGGAGAATCAGAAAACTGGCAGCTACTCATAGAGCCATTGGTTTTCAAATATCAAAATGTCTGCTGTGTTCAAAAACATGAACTGCTACATCCCCGATGGAAAGAAAAAAATGAGGTAATTGTTAAGGGTGCTACTTCCCTCACCCTTGTCAGGTTATGAGCCCATTCTTTTACAGAAGAACACCAAGGTTATTTGTCTTACATACCTAGTGCTCACTTTTCACCAGGTAGGATTTTCCTCACCTTTAACCATAATCTTTCCCAACAAAACTATTGAAAAATGAATTTTCATGAACATTTTTGAAGTTAGATTGATTTTCCCATTTAATTTTCTTTTCTATATTTCTTTTGCTTAAAAATATTTCCTTTGATTTCTTAGTTGAAAGGATTTTGCACCTGGCTCAGGCTGTACATCATCCTGCTGATTACCACCAACCTATTTCAG